GCTGGTTGGGGTGAACGGGAAGGGGTTGGAGATGGGTGGGGGGTTGGGGTCCAGGGTGAGGGGGAAGGGTCCGGATTTGGGGATGAGGAGGCATTGGTTGGGACTGCTGGGGCATGTGGTGAGAAGGAGGGAGGGTTTTAGGAAGAGGCACCAGCAGGTGGTTTGGAATGACGGCGGCATGGGAGTCTTGAGATTCCCCTTGTGCTGATAAAGTCCTGACAATAACCTCATGGGCCTCCAAGCACTGGAGACGGTTCAGTTCTACTGCCACATAGTCTGCCAGTGGATACATCACCTCAGCGATCTGAAACAGCATTAGTATTAGCATTAAGATGCCGTCACATTTACCGTTATTCAGTGAATTTTTTGCAGGCGAAATTCAGAAATTTCAATGGGAAACAATAGATAATGGATCTTTTTTTGCGACTACATGTGACCGCACCTTTAGAATCAATGTTCTCCTCATTAATCATCCAAATAACATAAACAACAAAAAGATCTTTAGTGTGAAAATCTTCCATCACCTAAAACCACCAGAAACATTGAATTCAAGTGTTTAGAATCACCCAACTCCACTAACAGAGGGCATCAGTATCACTTTTTGATAAAAATAGGTCTTGATGACTCTTTAGTCTTCATGCAGTCAAGAACTGTTCCGTCACATAAACATCACCACATATGACTGCTGATGCATGGGCATCCTTACCCTCTGACCCTTTGTGCACACTGCATAGCCAATGACATTTGCACCATTGGAGGTTCCCGTGGTTGTCATTGGAGGGGGCTTCCAACGGACTTGGAGGACCCCTGGGGCGTGTCCACACTGGACCTGGACTTCTTGAGGAGGTAGAGGGGGTCCTGGGGAGGGACAGATAACCACCGATTAGTTACACTAACACACCTGATATTCAATACATGATGTTTAGAAAGGATTGTTGTCCACTGGATTCATTTGCTTGAACTCATGAGGGCATACATTACTTCCAAGAGTCTGAGTATTTCAGCTAATTAATTAATCCAATTAGCCTCTCTAAACCCATTTCTGTTGCCTTTGACTATTTTAAGTGGAGTGTTGTGCTAATCAGAATAACAAAAATAGCCGTTTTCTGTCTTTTTTAATTCTTAATCTCAGAGGAGATTGTGTGTGCTGTTAGGGTCCGATGTGTGTGTCAGTCTTAGTGGGTAAAAACACTGATTTTCTGATTAATTTAGATCTGAACAATCCTGACATTGATTCTTATAATCCCAAAATAATCTTCAGTGGCTGTGGGAAAATCTCTTTGTTCAGCATTTCCTGTCACTGCATTCTGCTAAACTAACACAACTGTACAGTTTAGGCACTATTCTTAACTTTTACAATTAATATTTTTATAATGTACCAAGTACATTACTAACCCTTTATCAGTGTTACCAGCAATGTTGCTCCCCTGCTGCTGATTTTACCTTAGCTCTGAATGTGTTTTCACAGTCTGTACTGAATGTGATGCAATAAAAAGACTGTATACTGCGACTTCTTTTGAGTTACAGTCACAGGCTCTAAAAACAAGCATTCAGCGCAACTACTGCAGTCCAATTCATAAACAAGTTACTCTGTTATTTTATGTGAATCAGAAACATACAAAGCAGCAGTGTAGTTTGATTCACAAACAAACAACTATAATAAACTTGTTATTTTAAGTGAATCCAAAAAATACAGTGAACCGGTGTAGTTTGATTCACAAACATTTGACTATTACAAAATGGTTACTTTAAATGAATCAAACACATCAGCGCAACAGTGTAGTTTGAGTCGGTTCATTAAATGAATAATTTAAAATAAACAGCATTATCAGAGAGACACCTTATAAATGAAATATAGAGAAATGAATCAGAACTGAATCAAATTGGAGTCAAATCATTTAAAAATGGTGCGATATCTTAACAATTTTAGAGTTGAACTTCACCTGCAGCTTGGGTGCAGAACTCCACCCCAGCCTCTCTCTTCTCTCTCTGTTCCAGGGGCATGTGCCAGGGCACCTGGTGAGGTTTGGCCAACACTTTTACCTTGTACACTGTGGCGGCCTTCAGGTTCACAAAACGCAGTTTGTAAGAGCACGGCCTCACCACAGCATGCTCCACACCATCTAAGTACACAACATGGCCATAGTTACTATTACTGGGAAGCCACGAAAGTTCGGCGGAGTCACGTAAAATATCGTCCATGCGCAAGCCGGTGGGTGCCACCACAACATTGCGGCCCACCAGCAAGGTGCAGCGCAACTCATCGGAGAGCCCCCTGTCCGTCATGCTCTGTACTGACACGCGGTATGTGCAGGAAGCCAGGTCCAGCTTCTCGAGAAGCAGTTTGGTCCTGCTTCCAAATGGCACAGAGGAACGTACTTCCCCGTCCACTAAGATATTGTAGCCATTGATGTTGCCCCAGCCAAGGGGCACTAGAGGCGCTTCCCAGGCCACTATCACACTTCTTGCCAGCTGTTTGATCAGGTTGATCTTCCTGGGGTAAGGCACGATGTCGTCACCCAGCTCCTCTCCATCCAGTGCACCTGTCCCGTTGGTGCAGTGGCCGAGGGCGTCGCTCCTAAGGCTGTCCAGATGAGCACCTCCATCTATGGTCATCAGGCTAAGACAGCTCTGCTCCAGCCTGCCCTGCTCCTCTCCACCCTTGATAGATGACTTTTCCTTGTCCTGGACAAACTCCACAAAATTTGAGGGAACCAGGCCACGCTGGCCATCCAACAGCTCTCCTAAAACAAAGAGAAATAGAAAGATCTCATAAGCTGCAGCAGATCTCATTACATAAAATGTAATTGTGATGCATTTTGTAAGCATGTCATTTTAATACATGCTGCCAGGTGATGCTAACTGATTAAATTCACTGTTACATGTCTACGTCAATTATTTATGTCCATTAGCAAATAGGTTGTTTGGATTTTTTTAGATTTTGGGCAATTGCAGATCTGTTCTTTTTTTAATTTAGATTCTTAATTCTCTAATAATAATTACACCTCTCATATCATAACTCAATTACCTTCATAAAATCCATCATCGTCCATGTCCCCATATACGTACAAATACTTCCCTGCCACAAGAGGAAGCTCTGCTTCTGGATGCTCATTAGGTCCATCATAGGGATTATAACTGACCGAAAGACCAGACAGCGAGAGGAAAAGAAAAAGAAAGGAGTGAAATACAAACACACACACACACACACACACACACACACACACACACACACACATATATATATATATATATATATATATATATATAAATGCATTTAGTTAAATAAAAGTGGTGAGAAAAGTACCTGTATCGGACAGTGCCGAGGCGGACCTGGCCTGTGTATCTCGTCTTGGACCTCGGAGCAGGGCTCACCTCATTCTCCATCTATGGAGAGCGGAAATCAGCTGACACACTTGATCGTGATCTTTAAATTCCACACTGAACATCCTAACATGAATGTACTATGGCAGGGTTTGTGTGAGGGTCATTACATAACCTCCATTTATTTCCAGTCCTGCTCCCAATGTGCACAGTGCATGCATGTGTCCATGGATGATTTGTTTCATGTATGATTAAGTGCACAGAGCGGAGATGATCATTACCTATTTGCATTGATGTCAATCTCATAGACAGGGAAAATATAAGGCTGAAGTGTGTAATTTCTATGGTGGTGATAGCATCACCAAAGTGAACTGCAAAAGCAGTGACTGTTTTCAAACAGGTTTTGCCATTGGTCAAGAACTCATGCCATTAGTTGAGACAATTTTGCTGTGTCAAGCTGGCTGAGATGCTCAAACATCTTTTTTGATAGCAGCATTGAGTCATGGTGTTTACACAATGGGTTTAGCAAAATCAACATAGAAATGGTTTACAGTTGAGACAGTAGAAAATATTTTTACATCAAAACAATTACACACGTCACCTTTAATTATTAAATTAATTTTTTGACTCCATACTTCAGGCATCTATAAGGTCTCAGTGGAATAGTGGATTGAGTTATACATAAACAACTGACTTTCCTAAAGCATCAGACAATCTTCAACATCTGATATGAAGTAATTTATGGATCTAATCTATAGAGAGAGACCAGTTATGAAAGCATGAAATGAGCAAATTTCTTTTCTCCTGAGTAAAATACAGTCAGATAAACAGATACTGTTATCTGCTCGTGGCAACCAGTTAACTGAATGATCACATTGCAGCTGTGACGCATGACAAACCTCTGAGAGGGATGCTTGCATGGGGCTACTGGAGCGACTCTGGGTTTGGACGGTGGGTTTGACCGACAGCTCCTCTGGCTTGTCTCTCTTGTGTTGCTGTACTATGGGCAGTTCTGAGACCAGTGGAGATCCGTCAGATCTCTCATCACCTGCAAGCATGAGTTATAATGGAAATCAATGGCTTTGATCACTGAACAATAGGATGGATCTGAACAAATGGATCTAAATAAGGCTGTGGAAAAAATAACATTAGGCAGATGAGAAGGCAATTAAATGAAACAGATTTATTTAATATCAAAGGAATCAAAGTGATGTGTTAAAACGGATATTTTACTTATTTACACATGCATTACTTATAATTATAAAAATATGAACACATATCTGTAATTGAAAAAATTACATATTTGTAATTTAAAAAAATGCAAATAAAATACACAGATCTCAGCATACACAACATGTTTAACTAGAGGCGAATGGTTGCTGGGGTTGGAAGTATCAAATCTTTTAATCATTCGATAATTTCATCATTTAAAAAAATCAATAATAAATATTCACCTCCCAAAAGTTTTTCTAATAATAATAATAATAATAATAATGATTATTAGTAGTAGTATTATTCTTTTAGTATTTAAGAATAGAATGTAGAATGCAATAATTCAAAAGCCAATGGAAAAATCCTATTGAGTTTTTGTAGAGGGAACCAGGGTGATTCTAACTTCTATGCTGACGTACAAAAAAATGCATAATTTTTGCAGCTCTCTATTTACTGAAAAAATATTATGCATTCTGAATGTTCCCCCATACCAAAAGCCCTATCATTTTACCATGGTACACTGTATGAGATAAACGCAATGTGCTGCATGAAAAAAAAACAAAAAAATTATTTAAATTAGATGCATTTAAAGGAAGGTCAGAAATTCTAGAAAGGTGTTATCAAAACTGCTCACAACATTCTGAAATGTCTGTGGTTCATGTGGGAGAAAATACACCTCCAACTGTTTGAAAAATGCTTCACTCACTTTTTTCAGCCTCGCGCTGCAGGCTGTTGTAACTGTTTTTCTCCTGTGAGTCAGTGTTCAGTGTCTCCTCCGCGTCTGACCCCAGGTGATATCTCTCCAGCTCTTTCGACAAAATATTGCACTGCTCACTCTGTGTCCGGCATTTCTGCTCTAAGTCATGAACCTTGACCTTTGAGAGTCAGGGTAAGGAATATACAAGAAAGAAATACACAAATGAGGAAATCAAATCACTTATATCATACATAGGAATAAACACACAGAAGAAATAGACTGAGCTGTAGCAGTAGTTCTCAAATGGTTTTGCTTTAGGAACCAACAATATGCAAAATTGTTAACGTGACATGGCTGAAAAGAAAAACTGACAATTTTGTAAATGCATACAAAACAGTAGTTTGATTTACCAGCCTAACATACTGAACAAACACTGGGCAAAATATTGTATTATTAGCAAAATCCCTGCTATTAGACATATGACCCATCACTGAATACATTTGCGAACAAAATGCTGTAACGTTTGATTGGATGCACAGCCTGTGACAATAACAACTCGTTATGGCAATTGTTTTTTTCCCCTTTTAGAAGCCTATTTATTCTGATATCCTAAGGGGCCATTCACACGACACATTTTTGTGTTTGAAAGCATGAGACGCAGGGCAGTGGAATGAAAAAAAGGCCAGAGTCACATTTTTCAAAATTTAACCTGTTTTTAGGGATGTGCTAGACTAATCAACTAAACGATACTGCTGCTGCTAGTCGACACTGGAAATACTAGTCCTTTACATTAAATCTTTTTTTAACATTGTTTTATTGTATATCTGGCATGAAAAAAATAATTTAATTTAAACTTAGACCTTGCATGTGTTACTTGCAGCGGGCTCAGAGAAATGTCCAGTCAGAAGACAAGATGAAGGCATATTTTGACTTTGAAAGCAGGAAGGTTGTTTGTAAACTTTTTCATGTGAAACTGGCATATAACAAATAGGCTTGCTTATAGCTTTATTATTCTGGTGGTTATGAGTGAAAATAGCCTACTGATAAGAAATGAAACCGGGTTTAAGGGGAAACATTATAAATCAAACTTGCTTGACAACAACAGATCCACATCCTAATGAATACAATACTCTTAAATAATGCATAGTTGCCAGTACACATTAGGTTTTTTTCCAATTTTGCTGTCTGTCATGTATACACATACTTTTTTTGCACGAGAAGCATATTCAAACCCAAACATGCAAGTGGTGGCCATGGTATTTATATTGGTTAACGTTTAAGAAAGTCTGTTTATAATAGGCTATTGAGTTTGAATTCAATTTTCCTATTGATTTAGTAGATTTTAACAACTATGTCTATATTGTTTAATGCTGATTAAGTTTAATTTACAATGATCATAATGCAAGTAAAGCACATTGCATATATAAGTACACTGCATATATTTTTCAGCAACATTCAGTATGAGATTTGACTGTTTAAAGATTAAGTAGGCTTATCAAATGGATTGCATATACAACATTTTCAAAATACAAAATCTCTTTTTAAACAATAATGAAATTAGCTGTGGCACACATCCCTAGTTTTAACTTGAGAACCTTGTTTTTAGAACAGCATGCATGAGACGCTGCAAAAAAAATGGCAAAGGCATTAAAGGTTTAAATAACCTCTGTGTGTGTGTGCGTGTGTGTGTGTGTGTGTGTGTGTGTATGTGTGTGTGTGTGCGAGTGAGAGAGTGTTTAAGTGTATTATATAACCAGACCTTAATACTGATACAGTCACATAATTTCACCAGGTCCTAGTTTTACCCCAACAACAAAAGACCTGATGCAACAGCCTGTCACAGTCTCAGGGAAACTTCATTTTGTTTGTTAAACTATTAACTCTTTTGCAGCAACAATTTACAGCCACACAGATGAGTGTAGCAGCAGAGATACTCAAAGGACACACAATAATGCAATAATTTTAAAGGTATGGGTCACCCAAAAATAAGAATTCTGTCATTATTTATTCATCCCTCATGCTGTTCATACTGGAATGTAATCAGTTAATAATTACTTAAATTTCAGTCTGTTCTTCACACAAATCCTTGACTATAGTCTCAAAAATTCAAATGCACAGCACAAGTCACAATGACCACTTTTATGATGCTTTTGTAATGTTTTTGTGTCCTATTTGAAGCTGGAAAGCCTCAATTTACTCACATGGAAGAAAATATGAGTAAATTCATCAATATTTTTCCTTTTTTGTTCAATGGAAGAAAATCAAATGGGTTTGGAATGAGAACGATGACAAAAATGTTTATTTCTGGGTGAATTATTCTTTTAAAAGAGTCATGGTCCATGTTGTTTTTTATGCCTCGCATGAGAAAAAAAACTGATATGGAAGGAAAAAAATCTCAGGATAAGTAAGTGTGTGTACCTGCATTTTGTCCATATGGCTCTGTTTAAACACAAAAGGGAAAATATATATGTATATAAATCAGAATAACAAGGGTCTGAGATTAAAAATATCACAAAACAAACAAAATACTCAACTATGGAAAAAAGGATAAACTGAACAGCTTGAAACAAAATCACAAGGTGTAAAAAAACAATATTAAAGATGGAAAAAGGCAAAAATTATGAAGGTCATAAAAATGAGGATACTCTGGAAAGATGCCCCATAGGGGACATAAGTTCTCCTCGAAAGTCAAGTAGATAGTATTTGACAAGCAGAAGCTTCTCAGAGTGGACTGACTGTCAGACATGGAGGTCTTTTATCAAACACATGAGGGATCCAGACAGGTTGCACCGGTCCCTTGTAGGTTTATCAGATAATTTGGTAGACAGGTCCTTTTTGCACGAAAGGTAGACTCTGCTGACCAAGCCAGGAGTGTAGATTAGGCTTGTCAGAGCAGGATGCCATAGGACAGAAGGAAAGCAAAAAGATTATATTTTACCTCTAGCAGATGCACCACTTCTTCGCGTTCTTTTTCAGCTTCAGCCTGAACCTGAAAATAAGAGATAGCATATTTAATTTAGCTGTACAAATGCAATTCCATTTACTCAAAAACCGACAGACCCAAATCTCAGAAAGTAATTGCAACGTCAGTAGGACATCATAATTTCACATTGATTCGAAAAGGTTTGCCACGATTTGGTTGGCAAAGCTACTTCATCTAATTTCAGACAGATTTATTGATCCCAGAGGGGAAATTCAGTATCTGAAGGGCAAAACTGTGAGTCACAGTTCACAGCAGTTACTCATAAGTAGGGGTGTAACCATTCTCTGTCGAACCATACTGTTCTCCACCCGCGGTTCGGCACGCACTTGCGCGACAACGCAACTCTAATTTGGTTTGTTAAAAATAACAACAGTTAAAATAGACAGAGTTCGGTTATGTATGTTTCTGTCGATGGATACGCATTCTGGCTTCCCAATACATTACAACAACAGCAATGAACAAAAAAAAATAATAAATAAAAAATAAGTAGACAAACCATTTACTCTTTGTAAACTGTTCAATGCGAGTGCCATTTGCTCGAATATGATCAGTGTACTGGATCCGTGCATTGTCTTAAAAAATTTTATGTTAATCAAACAAAAGACAAGGAAATCACTCACTGCTCTTGATTGAATAGCTTTTATAACTTTAATAAGGATTAATCTTTAATATGTACAGTCAAATATGCAATTTTATTTTACATTTGAGTACTTTATTCAATTTCTGTACCTGAAAACATCTCCAGGTTACGTATGTAACCATGGTTCCCTGAAGGGAACGAGACGCTGCGTCGAAATGCTATGGGAACGCCTCCAGCTTGACCACGCTCTGAATCACATGTGTAATCAGTCCAATGGATGGGCAAGATGTCACGGGCGGGGTGACGTAGCGACCAGGAAGCATAAAAGCACGTGCGGTGAAACTGGCGTCAGCTTCTAGGAGTGAAGCAAGCGCTGGCAGGGATGCTGGAAGTATGGCCCTGAGACGCAGCATCTCGTTCCCTTCGGGGAACCATGGTTACATGCGTAACCTGGAGACATTCCCCTTCAGGAACTCGAGCTGCGTCGAAACACTACGGGAACGAGAATGCAAATCCCTGCCTAGTGAGAGCACAACTGAGGCGAGAGAAAAGGGAGCCAGGAATGGCTAAAGTAGGCGGGGCCCGCCGTCCCGAAGTTCCCCGGGCCTCGGTCCCTGCCTTGACAGGATGTCTGCCCCCACATATATAAAAGACCACTGCTGTGTTGTCGGTGCGCACCAAAACACAGCGATCTCTTAGGCCTAGGAGGAAGTGTTTCAAAGCTAGAAACACGGCCAGCATATCCAGTCAACTTATCCACTTGGGATGGCGGCCGCTCCACAGGCCGCGGGCCGAGCGGCCACTCATGACTGCTCCCAAACGGTGAAAGATGCATCCGTCGCTAGCATATGCGGCGACCAGGAGCTCCCAGCACCAGGCCCTGAGATAAGAACCAACGTTTCCTTCACATGTCTAAGGCACGTAGGCACGACCGCGTGACCTTGAGCATGCGAAGCGGGTTTCCCCTTGAGGAGAACCCCTTGGTCTTAAGCCACCACTGTAGGGGTCTCATGTACAGCAGGCCAAAAGTAACCACGTTGGACGCGGCTGCCATCAGACCCAGCAGTCTGGAACTGCTTGACAGTGAGTGACCGGCCTTCTCTCACTCTCGCGACGAGGATCGACTCGATCCGAGCAGGAGACATACGTGCCTACATCGTGGTCGAATCCCACACCACGCCCAGATAAGTGGTTCTCTGTACTGGAGAAAGCACACTTTCCTTGGCGTTAAGTCTTAACCCCAGCTCTTTCGTGTGAGCGAGAACAACATCTCGATGTCGAACTGCCATCCACTCTGAGTGAGCTAATATCAACCACTCGTCGATGTGGTTGAGTCGTGAAAGTGTGGGGTGAGAGTGCAAGGCCAAAGAAAGAACTCTGTGTTTGTAAGCTTTTGCCCCCAAAAGCAAACCTCAGGAACTTCCTGTGATGAGGAAGGATGGAGACACGTGCATCTTTTAGATCGATCGTGCCAAACCAGTCCAGACTTCAGTCGCCTGACTGAGCGGTTCAAATGACGCAGATCTAAAATAGGACGCCACCCTCGATCCTTCCTCGGAATGGTGAAGTACCGACTGTAGAACCCAGACTCTGCAACATGAGGAGGGACCACCTCGATGGCCTCCATCCTCAAAAGAGTAACTACTTCTGTTCCATGACCAGAGCCTGCTCGGGACCCACCATAGTGGGGATGACCCCGTTTAACCTGAGGTGGAGGAGAACTGGATTTTATAGCCTCACTCTACAGAAGCTCTCGCCGGAGACCGCTGCGCCCTGGAACACCGGCAGGGTTGGCAGACTGATCTCCTGAGGGCACTGAGGAGAGACGGGCACCGTGTAATGCGGTGTAGAGCCATAGCATCAGGACCCTCATAGCTGAAGTCTTCTCTAAAAATTACGGTCCTCAGACCCGCGTCATCTGCTAGGAAGACTCAACTGATAGAACCAGAGCCTGCTCAGGGCAGGACCAAAGGAGGCACGCTTGGCAGGGGCTCCCACACCGCCAGGTGACATACTAAGGGAACCAGTCTCACGAGACTGGCCTCTGGTGCACTTAGAGCGGCTAGCTCGGTGCCCTGAAGCAGTGAACAGGCAGGGGACGGCCGTACTAGCTGCTCTAGAGACCTCCGTGGAGGTCGCGAGCTTCTTAGCACCGTTACGTTTCTGGGTGGTAACTGAGAGAAGCGCTTGCCGGAGACCGCAGCGCCCTGGAACACCGGCAGGGTTGGCAGACCGATCACCTGAGGGCACTGAGGAGAGACGGGCACCATGTAATGCGGTGTGAACCTCTCTTCCCCAGAGGGGCTTGCCCTCCGAGGTCCTGAGCCACAGTAAACACGTGCTCTTACTCGAGAAATTTTTATCCCAAGAGTCCCTTTATATCTGTATATATATAACTCTTTTCTTTTTCCTCATAGTCAGACAAATACTTCATTTTATTCCTCAGAATCAAATGCAATCAAACAACCAGACGAGTAAACATGGTCTGGCGTGATAAGATTCATTTCGAAAATGATATATCTAACTTCTCATAGTCAGATAAATACTTAAAATGCAATCAAACAACCAGACGAGGAAACACGGTCTGGTGTGGTAAGATTCACATCAAAAACTAAAATGATGTAATACACGCGTTGCCCTGGCAGCGCGCGAGCCACTTGGTCACACAAACAATATCAATCTCCTCGGAGAAAATAGCCGCAGCAGCGAACTCTCACTCAGAGAGGGAAGAAACCGCAGCTCGGGCTTCCAAGCCTCGAGAGCGAGAGCTGGATCTAGGGAGTGCATGCGGAGAAAGGGAGAGCCGTTCGATCTCAATCGCCACCATGCCTCAGCAGCAGTGGGACCGTAACCGCAAGATCACAGGCACGGACATACTCTTCGGAGCGTGCCCGGCATGAGCGGAGTGTTTAACAGCGGGTAAAGCACAATCAGCCCCCTCTCTTTTTGCCGAGAGCTGACTGCGCGAGCTCCGCTCCCCAGTAAATGCTGCTCATAATAGTATAGACATAATGCTTGTGTCCACAGTAAAGCTAGTCATTATAATATTAGGCATAATATGCTTGTGTAACTGATGCTTGTTCAACTGGCAAACTCATCGACGCCCTCATCAACCTCCTCGGAGGAAGACAGGCAAAGCGTCGAGCCCTCTCACCGGGGGTAAAGAACCGCAGCACGGGCTTCCGAACCTCGAGAGCGGGCGCTGGATCTGGTAGGTGAGGAAGAAGATAGGGACTCGCCCGTCTACATTCCCTCCACCGGATCCATATGCGAACCCCACGAGCACAGCCGCCGCTCCGCCTCGGCGAAAGCGGGGCCGGCGCC